CCCCGCCCCCCGGTCCCCTCCCTCCTTACACCCTCTCTCGTTCACGAACTTGTTCACTCACTCACCCATTCATTTCCTCACGCATCCAAATGTAATTGTCTTATGAAGCTGCACACAGCTTTCAAAACAACGACAGCGACTTGGCAGTTTTCAGTGTCTTCGTAAGTCTCTCTCTTTTGCCCTTTTAACTCCCAGTGGAGCACAGACCGCCAACAACATTTCTCCAGCGAAGCCTGCCCTGTGCATCCTTTTCTAGCTGTTTCCATGATGTCTCCGCCTTTTCCATTTCCGTATGTACCACTCTCCTCCATGTCATCTTTGGTCTTCCTTTCTTACGTTTTCCTTGTGGATTCCATATCAAAGCTTGTCTGATGATTCTTGTGTCTTCGAACGTAACACTTCTTAATTAAAAACTGCGCGCTTCAGCTTGTATGAACAAGATTCGCGGTTTGTCCTATTAAGGCTGGACAGTTAAAAGATCACTGCATCTAGAAATATCACCCTTCTCATTGCTTCGGTTAGAACTGCATTTTGACAGTACTGTAGCTTAACACTTTGCGGTCACTTGGCGCAATAATGTGCCGTTGAAAATTATCCGTTACGTTCACCTAGCGTAGCAGGCCCAAGAAGTCCGTTGCAGTCGTCCTCCTAGCTTGGTGACCAGATGGGGGTATTTTGTACTGCTTGCTGTGTGACTGCAAAGTGATAAACTGCGCTTTCACAAATACACTCAAATTATGTATTTCATACACAGCCGAGGTAAGCGGCCGACATAATACAGACTTCAACAAAAGTTAAGGACCACTTGCAAACTCTCTGAGTGGTCTTCTTGGGTCAACCTGCACGTGGGCGTTCTTGGACTGATCCAGTGTCGTGACGGTGCTGCCTCAGGCGGACAATGACAGTGTGACACTGAAAACCTTCTGACAACTTCTCGGACTCCAACTCCTTCCTGCAGCCATGTCATAGCTCTGGCATGATCAAAGCCTCTCTGCTTTCGTCTTGGTGGTATGTTGATGCGATACTGGATTTTGCGCAAACGACCAAAGTGAGCACAATTCGAGATCGTACGTCCTTTCATGACGTGCATCAGAATTTTTAACTGAGAAATGTCCGTGGTGTCGCACACAAGTCGATAAAAAACAGTAAATTTGCATAAAATTCCCCGAGGATTTCCGTGCTGCACTTGGTGGTTTTGGTCCTTTAGGAGGCTTTGCAGTACTCATTGGTAACCCATTAACACTTTCAGACTAAAACATTTGAAATATTCTTTGCTTTCTTTTTTTCGGATAAAAAAAAGTCAGGACTATCTGTCAAGGTGTGTAATAAGTCTGTAAAATACACGAGCCAATGGACGCAAATCAGGTCATGATTTGGGCCTTGCCTCTGAACCTGGACTTATAACACACACGCAGCCGTCACGTCACGCCTGATGGCGTCACCCTGTCGTCTCGATACAGGATCCAGAAGTTTTGTAATTCAGGCAAATTGTTTATTGAAACACAAACTAGCAGGGTGCTTAGTATAAAATTTATGGACAAATTGATACGGGTTATGACATTTGAAGACAGTCCAGTAAGCACTAAAGAATTTTTCTTTTAGCCCAATTTAGCCCAATGCCAATGGACAAATCTTTGTCGCAGTCTAAATTTCTGGACCTGCTCATTCAGTAGGTTCCGGGGGTAGAAACCTGACAGCTACTGAAAATTTTCATCTCTAAATGTTTTTTCTTTGACCTCCTTTCCTTCTCTCTGACAATGTTCTGTTGTCTGCTTTTGTGTCCCCTTTCTGCCTCCCCCCATCCCAACCCCGAACCCTCTTTGCAACTCCCATGGGCTCCTGACTCTTTCTGCAGCCTTTCTACGGCTAAACCTTGGCTCCATCTGACTGCTGTCTCTCAGCCACACCGCTGCTATTAGGCTAGGTAAGATCTAACACACAGGCTTGTCGAATAAGGCCGAAGAATCTCGGAGATTCCGTGAGCAAGTTGTTCAAGCTAAAGATTCCTTGGTGGTTCAAAATCGATAAGAGCAGGCTTCGACGGCCACTCGTGCACACTTCATAATTAATTCCTACAAAACTGAAAACAGTTTTTTTAAATGTGTCCCGTAGGCTTATATGACTTTATGCAGTTGCGAGTTTCGTAAAACACTTACCAATCCCCCCCCCAACATAAAACAACAACAACAAAACAACCCGCAACAACCCCCCAACTGCAACCCCCCAAAAAAACCCCACATCAACAACAAAAAACAAACAAACCCAAAACAGCAGCAACAACAATAACAACAACAAACAAACAAAAAACCAGCAAACATAACCCTTGCGCTCATATGACCTTGTGCAGTTGCGAGCGCCGTAAAACCTCTACTAAAACTAAAAACTAAAAGCAAGAGCCGGGGGTCAGATCCCTGCGTGTGTGTGTGGGGCTCCTGAGAGCGATGGGCCATGAGCAACCCTGCCTCTCCCACTGTTGGTAAAAGAGCGACAACACTGTCGTTATTCCGAACTTGAGTTCTCCCGCCGAGTTCATTGTTCCTCCTCGTGCTGTTGTTGGTCTTGGTAGAGGCGGAAAGGTCGCCACACTGATCAGATAACAGTTTTAGTTTTAGAAAGAGTTTTACGGCACTTGCAACACAATAAGGTCATATAAGTGGCGAAGAAAAGATCTGTGACAAGAAAGTAACGTACACCAAAAAGAGAGAGGAGAGATAAGGACCACGAATGTTTGATAGGAAAGGAGGAACAACCACACCAGAGCACCCGCCAACCACCCACTCAGATAAAAGAAACGCTGAGGGTCAAACTGGGGTCGCCTGCACTGTTGTCAGATGTTTTCCTCGATACTAAAGCATGACGTGTTGAAGGAGCGAAACATATCCTGTGCTCATCTCTGAGATCCGTTTTGTGTTTCCTCACTAATTTGTTGTACTGCTTCAGAAAGAAAAAGAAAACAGGAATAATATTATAATACTTGTGTGATGCTGTTTCCGGCTGAGCTAGAAGAATAGAGCAAAGGCGTCCGAGTATGCGTTGGTGTTCCTGCCATTTCACTGCCTATGAGATAATCACATCATGTAGCTTTTTGGGGGATGGCTTTATAATTTAGTTAACGAGTTTTACACCATACTTAGAGATACATCTCCCTCCCCCCGCCCCCGAAAAAAACTATAGCTATCAGCCATGAAATAAGTCTCACTTTAAAATGCCATTGGGAATTTCAACTGAATTTTTATGTTTTGGGACCAAAAGAAGGGAGCAGTTGATGTCCTGAAATAACGTCCAGGGAAAGCACTTAGAACTGTTCTTATTCTAGAAAAAATGCTAACAAACCGCCCCGCAATTTTCCTCTTATGTTACAAGAAGAGTGATGTAGCTGTTAGGCTCTTCGCCGTCTCTCGCAGAAGCTCGGAGTTCGATTTCCGTAGGAGGGGAATTTTTTTTATCTAGTATCTCGATTTTACTGCTGTATCCCTTTCCGCCCTGTGGAGGTCTGGATAGAGAGGGTCGAAGCCCATTGCCTGAATAATCTAAATTGTGCTGACGAGTTCATAAAAAACACCTACTTTAAAAAGACCTGCTATTTCGTCCATAGCTTCCCATTTTTAGTCTTAATGCACTTCAATTTTACAAAGAGGAAACCTGTTGTTAGCTGCAAAATACGACCCGAGACTCACAGATCGAAAAATGCTTTTCAATAGGGCATAGATACAGAGCTTTAAGGATATAACGTACACCACAATAGGCGAGGGGGATGCTTTGTGTAACAACGTCATTGTACTGCTTTTGCTCAACGCCGACTAGATCTGGGCAATGAGTCGCTTTAGCAAAATCCGGATAATATGTTAGTGCACCTCTTCGGCAAATAATATGATATGAACCGCTTCGACAAACGGGTTAGCATCATTTCAACAAATGGGTACATTCACTTCTGCAAACGGGTCAGGAAAGATTGAGAGTCTGAATTCGGACAATGTTTCATTGATAATTATCCGGTTATCCGGATAGCTTATCCGGATTTTGCCCAGCTCTAACGCCGACCAGATTAAATTGTAAAGCTACACTTTGCCACTTCAAATCAGGAAAAAAAATAAATAGAAAAAATAAAAGCGGCCGCCATAAATAAGAAAAAGCTGTGAAAGTTGCCGTTCGTAAAATTCTAGTTGATCTTTTTCGACCTCTATAAAGATGAAAGAATGGCTGATTAGATTTGCCTCCAGGCCTTTTACGTTGCGTGTAGTGAGACATACAATACGATACAATCGAACATCCTCTAAGGGTTTCGTTAACCCGAATTTACCCCCCACCCCCCCCACACACACATATACACTCCGCACCCTCCTTTCTAAGTGCGATTCTCTCTCCCACAATAAGTCGGGAAGAACCGATGAAAGCGGTTGTGACAGACAGGCCAAGGACATCGGCTCGCGATCGGCGTTGTCGTTCTTTTGGCCGGCACCTCTCACAACCACATTTGTCCTTCTTCTGAACGGCACCTCTACTCTCCCAGCCAGAGTCGTCGCTTCTTCCGTATCGCGCTGGGCAGTGAGTGGAAAGTGGAAGATCACCGCGGAGTAAAAGGGACGGAACCTTTGACTCGATTCATTGTTCTGTAATGTGACGGCCGCGTTGATCGCATTTCTTTTGGAATTAAGGACTATTTTTTTCTGTCTACCGTCTCCTCAGGCTGGGTAATGGAGAAAGTAAATCATTGACGACTGTACCGATGTGGATGTGCTCGGGAAATTCGAAGGTCGATTATTAATCCTTCTGTCTTGTTTTGCTCTGACAAGCACGTGTTTTCCACAGACTCAGTTTTTCATTTTCATGCTAGGGAATCCTGAATACACTTTGATTTATCGTCTCTCAAAGAGATCTCGTTGAAGATTTCAGTACATCATAGCTGAATCTTTGTGAACTCATAACCTAGTTCTGAGAGATCCGGTTTTTGCGTAAACCTCTAGCTTTCGTAAATACAAATTATGGTGATCACTTTTTATCTCTGTTCGCCTTTTTGCCTCTTTGTTTTTCTTCTTTGTTTTTTTTCTTTGTTCGTCTCAGCACCTCTTCCTCCAGCTCCCCCTGTCCCACTCTCGCCCACTCGCTCCTCCCCCCCCACTTTCTCCCACCTCTCTCTCTCTCTCTCTCTCTCTCTCTCTCTCTTTCTCTCTCTCTCCCTGTATCCTGTATCGTTTCTCTTTCGAACCTGTCTTCTCCTCAGCCATATTTACTTATCTCATCCTTGTCATACTCGCCAAGTATATTGTTACATACATGTACCTTTTGTTTCAGCCCATGATATCGGCCATGGCTCGTTCCATGCCAATTTTCCGTATGCCTCAGCAGACATTGCTGACATTTCGCGACCAATATCTTCTTTATTTTATGTCTCATCACCTTTATTTTTGCGTTCTCCCCTCTCTTTTTTCCTTCTGTCTGGTTTTCCTTCCCCACAACGTCCAATACCACCTCCACCACCACCACGACCACTTCCACCCCGACCACCACCTCCTCCTTTGTCCTCTCAATGATCACCATTTTTATCATGAGCATCCACCCTCTCCTTCTATTTTTTCCTCCTTCTTTTTTCCTCTTTCTTCACCACCATAACCACTATCTGTCTTCGCCCCCTCCATCATTTTTCTGTTCCTCCCCTCCCGTCCCCCCCTTCTACTCCTTCTCCTCCTCCTCCTCC